GACCATATGTGATATATATTACACGGTTACAAGAGACCATAGGTTCTAAACTCTTTGCCTGTCGAAATTTACTAGCTTACACATGGCAATTGTAGTCGTCAAAATATCACTCTTGCTTTAATCATTATACACTTGTATTCGGATTCATTCAGATACTGTCAAGGTACTTTTTTCAAGTCTTTTTTTTCGCATTTACACTTAAGTCGTGTCAAGTTGTCATGATATTTTTATTCAGTATTGTTTGGCATTTCATCGTGGAAAGTTTTGCGCCTAAACAACCTTTACAAATCAATCAACTTTATTACGAAAATTCACGTTCTGTAAAGAAATTATGGTCAACTCCATCGGCCTACTGAGCGTACTGTTCGCATCATCCATCTCGATAATACTCGACCAATAAGAACAAGTCCGGCACGCAGAGAAGAAAATATAACAGCCGTAGCTGAGAATGTACACGTAGACTATGGAGAGTCAATTTTTCGCTGTACTCTCAAAGCTCATTATACGTCGAGATCTTAAGCGTCAAAATACAATTTGTACAAGAACCGAAGCCTCTCGACCTACGAGTATGTGCTCTTGAAAGGAGAGCGTAACCATCAATGACCATGATAACCAAGTATTTGATACGTATAATTGAATCTCGTGATCTCGGCGACATTTGAATTCAAGAAGACAACGCTACTCCCCACACATCATCAATCAATGGGTTTATTGAGAGAATACTTCAGTGAGCAGATAATTTCACGTTTCAGTCATTGGAGCAAAAGATTAGGCGTGTCATTCGCCAGTTACTAGTTGAAATGTTCGAGCGTATGTATCATTAAAAATTGGACATTTGAAAGAGATGATCTTTAGAAAATAAGTGCCAAAAAATGTTCTTTCAAATGATAATCCCGATTAAAACTGAAGTTTCTGGTTTTTTTTTTTCTTTAAAAAAATTGAGGACCTCGAAATAGGAAGAGAAACTGCGTAAGGTCAAAACATCTTGCGACTTCACGAAGCCAATGGAATGGTCTTGTAAAGAGCGCCTTCGAAGTAGGAAGAGAAACTGCGTAAGGTCAAAACATCTTGCGACTTCACGAAGCCAATGGAATGGTCTTGTATAGAGCGCCTTCATATTTACATATGACTTGGCATATATTTATTAATAGCAAATTGACCACTTGTCCACATTTTGCTTATACAAAAAAACCGTTATGTGATAATGTTTTGGCTTCCGCGAAAATTGGTAAAGAGAACCAACAAACCAGATTGCTATGCACCAGATGAAGCGACTGGCGGCGAGACAGTGCCACACGTAGAAGAAGCAAAATAAACTAGTTTGGCTGCAAGTAGCAAACCGAAACTTCTGTTGCTTCGAACGCATTTTTCTCTATTTTCTTTTCGCGTCGTAGACAGCCGCACAAAAACCAGCTAAAGTCATTTGTAATGGAATCAGAGCTGCTAAAATTGGAGATGAGGTGTGGTGGTTAGCCGCAGCAATGCGGTTCAATTAATTGAATGAAATTCCGAATACACACGTATGTAAAATGATAGACGAGATGAGGCAGTAGGAACACGGGCGCACCGCTATTTGCCGACCGAATGTGTGTATATATGTAAGTCGACACCTGAGAAGCGTGCTACAGCCGCAGCCTTAATTGTTCGCAGCTATTGCGACTCAATTCCGATCGCTGTTTGACATCGACAGCTTGGACTTTCGGCCACTTGACTCTTTCTATTTATATAGAGGTATGCCTGCAGCAGATTTGGATTGAAATTTCAAAATGAGAAATAAAAATCAAGAAATAAAAAGAAAGTTATTGTCGGCATTCGGCAGCGAAATCATGGTGTTTATTACATGCAAACACACTCACATGTACGTATGTAAGTATATTTGAAAAGAAGAGAATTTTATTTTGGTTCACCTGATGGGATGTGCCACTTTAATCTAATCTACGCGCACAGCTGGTAATGTGGCTAGGGAAATTGCCAACTTCTCGATTTTTTTTATCTATGCAATCTTACCACCTCAGGGGAATTCGTATGGCCGGAAATTGAGCAAATTAACTTTTCATGCCTTTCTTTTTCCAATTTAGCACGAACTTGTTTACATATGTGTACTTTTAGTTACAAATTGACCCCTCGCAGCAACCATTCAGACGTGTATTTGACGCCATAAAGTCATTAAGCTCCATTGTGTATTGTATAAGTACACATTTTACATCTATTGATCTCACTTCCTTCTAACAATTCACCCAATAATGTGTGTATGCTTGTACAAAGTTGTATTTTTAGTAAATATCGAACATATTGCCTTCATACATATTACATCCAACAGCTGCACTTAAACTTAAATTACTACGTTTGAATTTTATGGTAACACGAAGAGCACAGTGGGACAAATGAGAAAAATTACAAACCGTTCCCACGACAGTCGGATCTACGGAAACCGGAACGGACCCGGATTTTTATCCGGCCAAGGACTGTCAACTCGGCAGAACTCTGCCGTTACAACAACAACAACAACAACAGAAAAATTACAAACAAAAATTGTGAAACAAAATMAGTTCCGCATCAAAATACGTTCATTCTTCGCCTTTAATGCTATGGTACCATCGTTCTTATACATATATGGTTAAGACGCCTCAAATTTCTATAAAATTTTTTAGAAAATTACGGGTCGGTTCGCGAGACGCAACGAATGGAGCCATGCTCATCCACTTTGGGCTTTTGCGAAAGGATCTTGGTTTTCTGGCTTACAAAATTCAAGTCGAAAAACCTTCAAAAGTTTCTGTGAATGAGTCCAAAAGATGATGGACACCATTCTCGATTTTCACAAGAAATTTTTTTTCAGCGATGAAGCTTACTTTTGGTTTAATGGATACGTTAATAAAAAACAATGTCGCCTTGGGAGTGATGATAATAAATAAGTCATTGTACATGAATTTGAGGATGTCGACGTGGATAACCTTTGGTTTCTACAAAACGGCTCGACGTATTATCCCTCGTCATGGGCGTATAACGTGGTCTTCAAGAACGACATAAGATCGCTGGACTATTTATTGTAAAGTTATGGGAATCGCTTGTCAGATAATCCCGAGACGATTGACGCCTGTGAAGAGAGAATTCCGCACGTTATTGTTGACATATGGATAATCACTGCAAAATTGTATTTTAAAATTTATTCGAGTCATCGGAGGCGGCCCCTAGTTCGAAATAATGTTTAAAACATAATGGAAAACTCTTATCTTTATAATAAAGCTATCTTGATTTTTTTCTTGAAACTCACATGCCCAAAAAAGCTTATAAAAAGCCTTACCTTCCTTGGCTTGCTTCTCCTTATGATTAGAATCAATTTATTGATACCTTTTTTCCTCTCCTTCTTCATTATTGGCTTAGACACCACGTACGCGGCTATAACCCAGTTTACAACAGCGCTTCAGTCGTTCTTACTTTTCGCGGTTTGGCGCCAATTGAAGATTACAAGTCTTGCTAGTTCCTTCTACCCCTGGTTTTTCCAATGGAGTGCAGGTCTTTCAGTTCCTCTGCTTTCCCCGGCGGTTACTGTGTTGAATACTTTTCAGATGATATAATGTAGTCAACGTAGCCGTTGTCTCTTAATATGCTGAACTAACTATGTCACTCCTATTGTACACCTCGTATAGATCATCCTTCCATCGACTGAAATATACATAAATCTTCTCGCAAACTCGAAATGCCGACTCATCAGATGTTGTATCGGCAGAACGGGAGTGATGTATGACTTATAGAGTTTGATTTTTGTTCGTTAAGAGAGGAATTTACTTCTCAATTATTTACTCAGTTTGAAGAGAACCTGTTGGCAAGATTGGGCTTCGAGACAGACATTGTTGTTGGTGTTAATACTGGTTCCAAGGTAGAGGAAATTACGAAATGCACGCATTCGAAGTAATGACGTGGGAGCCAAGTCAGGAGTGCGACGATTGTTTGTTTGATGACAAGAGATATTTCAATCTTTTTCACGGGTCTTTTACAAGATTTGGCGAATGGTGAATATCTGGTCAGTTTTTGATTTTTTAGGCCTAAAGCCAGACTGAAAGGTCCAATCAGTTTCGTGATGGCGGGCTTTAATCTTTCACACAGTACGTTCGATAGAACCCTACATGTAATGTTGACGAAGTTTATCCCACGATAGTTGGCGCAGACGGTGTAGTCTACCTTAAATTCCCATTGTCAGGCATGCATTCTTCCGAAAATATTCTCCAAATAAGCTGATCATTGCTCTCTACCAGCTCTTCCCCGTCGTATTTGAAAAGCTCGGTCGGAAATCCATCGGTCCCGCCGCTTGGGAACTTCTTCATGGTCGTCTGCTCCATTGTCATCGATTGAGGAATCGTCTTCCCCATCTCATGGTGTTATGCTTTCACTGCCATTAAGTAAGTTGAAGAAGTGTTCTCTCAATAATTTCAGTATGCCCAGAGCAGTCACTAGATCAAACCTTTTTCTAAAGTAAAGTTTAACGCAGAAATAAAGATTTTAAAATTAAGAGAGCGAACATGTTAAAATGATTACTTTCTGAAACGTTAAGAGAGCGGTATAAATGATATTGACCCTTTGAAAGTTCACAATTTTCGAAACTTCAACTTTTTTCTAGAACCTTCATTTTTGAACACTGTGAGAAGAAAATTATACACCTACATTTGTAGATAAACACATATAATTTGGTATAGTAACTCAAACCAGCTGAGTAGTAACCGAAACTAGTGCTGCCGACTAGCTGCCCATAAGCATATGTATGTAGGTATGAAGGCGCCTTCATACAAAATCGGCGCTGAACGGAACGAAAGCCTATAAACTACCAGAGAGTAGCGTTTACAGAGCAATAAGCCAACACGAGAAGCCACAAAGCCAGCCAGTGGCCGAGAAAAGAAATGCAACAATGAAGTAGAATAGAAAGAGATATAACCAGTTTTCGTAAAAGTAACTGCACGACAGAGCGCAGGCCAACGCCGGCGCTGGAACTTAGCTAAGCGCATGCGCCACCACTCATCACCGTTTCAAACGTGATTTGGACGCGCTACTGAACGCTCGACATACGCGGATGTACCGGATTTAAGAGTGTTGTATGCAAACATAAATTGAAAAGTAGTGTTGACGCTTTTAGAGAGCAAGTGCTATGTAATAGAAAGCCAAAAGGACTTTAAATCAAGTGTTACTTTGTGAAAATGCTAATAAAGATACAAATTTACAAATAATAGTGAACATCGCCTTCGATAAAAGAAAATGTTTTTAAGACAAATAAAGTTTTGGACAATAAACGACTCATAAATACACAAAAAAAAAACAAAAAAAATATATATACAAAACTTTTTTCGGTATAAAATACTCGCGGTTCACCAGAAAATGGCGAAATTTACGGTTATTTTTCAATATCTGTTAGCTGTGACTGCTTTACTCTGCAGCTTCGCGCAATGCGCCAACGAAGCGACAGAGAAGCAGCCGGCCACACACGCGCCTCCAAGCGCTGGCACCGACGCTGCGCAAATCGCTACGAATAGCACACGCTATGCGCGACTAATAAAAATTTTGCAGGACCCGAAGGCTTTAGCCGCCAAACGTTACCGTGCCGCTGCACAACGCGTCATGGCGCGCGCTGATAATTTACAAGCCGGAGGCATGCCCAATCGTCGGCCGCTAGCGGGCGTTCCGCCTCAACAAAAATCGCGTCCGCCGATTATGCGCCGCGTACAGAACATTCCGCCTGTTAATGGCGCGCCGACGCGTTTCACCTTTGAAAAGCCTAAGGGGGTTATAAACCATTTACCCTCCAAAGGTCCGGTCCCATTCAATGCTGGCAAAGTGTCCGTATACAGACCGCCTTACCCGTTCGCCGCACATTCTCAACCACAAACACATCCAAATGCTTTACTGTCGCAGTCGACTGCGCCTGCTCAAACGGTAAAACATCAACAACAGCTGCAACAATACGAAGAATTTAATTTCAAGGCATCGCCACCATACAATGGCAAAGCAATTGTGCGCCCCTTACTCGAACCACACGATCCAAATTATAGGCAGCACCTGCAACAGCTACAAAAATACGCTGGCAAGCCACACCACATGATACAACAACATCCCATACCACAACAACAACAGCTGCAGAAACCACACATACAGCAGCCCTATCCAGGATATCCAAGTTTTCAGCAGAGCAAGCAGCAATCGCCCAACCGACCACCAACTTTTCATTATGAAATGATTCGACCGCACGAAGAGCCTGTACTGCATCCACACGTGAAACATGAGCATCCGGTGCCTAATAGCGCTGGTTATGCCGTCTATGAGAATAATGAGCTGGCTGAGGAAGAGGTGCCGTACTCGCATCCCTATGCACACTATCCTCCCACAGTACGAACCGAAGAGGCTGCGCAGCATTATACAAGCATGCGACAGCAGCCACAACACACCGATACAGAGACCGCAGCGGCGCATGAAGCTGAAGAATATATAAAATTCATGAACTCAAATGACTATTTTCTACCCAAGCATGAACCCAACTATAAACAGTTTGACACACAAAGCGATAAACTCCACGTGCGGCACCAAGAGTATCTGCAACGCGAGCAACCAGCCGCACCAGAGCCAGCCCAACGTAGTCATGCTCACTATCTGCCATCACAGCAGCATACACAACACATTCAATACATCCAGCCAACAACTACCAATGACAATGTAGCCTCTGGCTCCGGCTCTTCCGCTGCTAACAATTACCTTAACAAACCGATACAAGTATCTCAGCTATTTTATCAAGAAGATCCCGTCCCCGCCATTGTACGTGGCAGCTATCAGACCGGCAGTAACTTATTTGTGGTAAATTCAGACGGTAATAAGGCCGTTAAGCATGTAATACCGGCGCCCACCACAATCGCACCCACTACATTGGCGCCAGCGTATTCCAAGGTGCGCTATAACGCGCTACATAGCCGCACACCTGAACCGCTGCGCTTTGAGTTTACTGAACGCGACGCTGTACACGCGGCGTACACGAACTCGCCACCGCAAGCTTACGTAAATGACAATGAGCATTTACGTTATAGAGCCGCTGCCGCGTCGTTATCCACCACCACTACGCAAAACTTGCCTATATCAAGTTTCCACAATTACGACAGCGACACTTCGCCCAGTGCGGATGATCCAGAGGACGATGAGGATGTACAAAGCGCCAGTTCGGTAAGTGCACAAAACTCCACGATATTTTATTAGTACATCTAAAAAGCATAGTCAAAACTGTCAAATTAAGGACTTCTATGGACGCGTACCAGTACGTCAATCAACCCCTGGCGATGCACCTTCGATATCAACCTCACCAGCACCGGTTGAACAGAAGGACACCGAAGAGTATTGCGAGCGCATGTGCGCCAATGTGCATGACGAGGACGAGGAGATCGTCTGCGGCTCGGATGGTTACATGTACACAAGCGAGTCCCAAATGGAATGCTATGCCTCATGCCTCCACATTGGTAAGTTATTATAGTAAATCCTGAATAGATCTAGCAAAATTCCCAAAATTCACGATAGTTTTAATTAGAGAGGCTGCGTAGTCACAGCCATGAGAAAAATACAATTTTACACATATTTTTTGCCAGTAAATTATTTAATTTTATAAAGGTAAAAAGAGAGCATCATCAGATAAGCTTTCGACTGGAATAAACTAATTTTTTATATTTAAAAGAAACCGAGTAAATATCATTGAAATTTACCGAGCGGTTTTTGACCACCAGTTCAAAGTGCTTAGATTTAAAAAAACACGCAATCATAATCACTAACTCCTTAACACGTTTGTAGGGGTCGTCATCAAAATGGGGTGCCTTATTCTAGGCTGCTTCTTCTTTTCATTGGTTGAGGGATGGTTCGCCTTCTCACTTTAGCTCGCCTTCAAACGATTTTTTTTTTTTTTTGGTTACCCAGATAATACTTGGTCTAATATGTAAAAGAATGGTTTCTGGCCACGCTCAAGTGAATGGCGCTCAAAGCACTTTCCTCACTTGCGTGAATTTCTAAACATGACTTCACTCTTTGCTAATTTCCGAAAAACTCGAACAATATTTGTCGGATTTATTTCATATTTTCAGAGAATATTTTTAAAATATTATTCTTCAAGTAAACGCAAAAAAATATATATATTGGAAATTCTAACAAACGCCTAACCGCTCATTTGAAAACATTAAACTTACTTTAACTTTTCACTTTCGCTCTCCAATTTTACAGATGTAACGGTGCAAAGCAAAGGTTCCTGTAACACGCGGTAGATCGAATCGATTTGGAGCAAGTGGGTGTCGAAACATCGCTCGCAAGCCACACTAACTGACAATTAGCGAATTTCTATTTTATTTAATTATTTTTCTATTTAACCTTAATTTATTTTACTTTAGTTTTTTTAATATCTAATTAGACTCGTTTGTAAAAAGTATTTATTTATTCCATTAAAATATAATGGTGTTAAAAATAACAAAACATAAAATTTTGAAAATAACTTAAGACTATTTACTTATTTGCGACTAATTGACGATACCAAATTGCCAAATTGTCGCAATAAAGGGACTCAGTATATAACAAACGCCCAAAATATTCTCTTGTTTTAAAGTGGACGAAAAGGTCGTGTTGTTCCTGTGACTGTCGAGTTTACATATCTGTAAAGGACCTGATTTTATATCCGGTGAAGCTCTGTCAACTCGAAAGTGTACATCAAAATTATTTATGGGATGATTTCTCCCAATACTGCAATAAAGGCATCGTAACTAATATTCGACCAAGAACTGCTGCCACAACAATATATCAAAATTTGTTTCAGATTACTTCACACCGCTAACAGCGACTTCAGATATTTTGTACTTGGAAATAGTGAATTGGGGAATATCTTGAAACAAATATTTAAAAGGAAAAAGAAAAGTGCCAGAAGTTACAAGTTAAACTAACAAAAAACCAATCCCACTCTGGTGATCCATATCTAGAAGTTTAAGGAATCACAAAGAGCTAAAATCAATCGTCTGTTCCGTGTGTYAGACCGTCGTACGKCGGAAAATTACATCAGTCACCTTCAATTATTGTACTGGCTGATGTCGCTTCCTTACCTACGCGCAACTCCCTCACAACAAGATCACTCACGGACACCCGCGACAAACTCGAATTATACAACTCAACGGTTACGGACTCCAGAGTAAGTTCGTGCGGATAGTTGCATTTATGAACCGAGAACGCGAATGGATTGGTGCGGCCCATGAATCCAAGTTAAATAGCGTAGGGATTGCGAGCAAGATAATGGTGGAGGCCTAGCCTTCATACTGCACGACTACCGATCGCTTCATCCCGGCAAATGGTAAACCATCATAAGCGGACGAAGTKGATAGACCTGAAGTCCTGCRACCTCTCCAWTGGCGTGAGTAAGTTTTTAACTACTATCAAGGTTTTGTCTAACCTAAAGAGACCTKATAACAGAGTTGAAATTCAGCTCAATGGGCATGTCTCTTCGGCAATTCACACTGCACCCTTCGATAGACAAAGCCAAACGCTATGTTACCCGACGGTCAYGCAAAATTCCAAATGACTGCGCACCACTTACTTTCACGGACGAGGAGGTTCGGAGTGTCATCAATAAAGCAAAATTTCTACCTGGCCCTAATGGAATAAAGCTTACATGCTGATGCTAAAGCACCCAGGTTCAACGGGAGGAAGATACCTCACCAACATGTCGCTGACCACTGTGTGAAAAATCGGACAAATGGCTCCACTATTAAAACCTTAGAAACGCAGCAACAAAGGAGAATCACTCCGAATAGCTTACTTACTTGGAGCCAAACCATCACCCATTACAGACGAAGATATCGAGTTTCCACGAGAAACGAGAGTGAGCTTTGAGCAGCTTCGTTCTGGTTATTGTAGCAGATTAATCTCCACCTTATCCAGAAACGTATCCCTGACATGTCAAACATAYGTACACATCTGACACCACTCTCCCCATATTCCGAACATGTCGTAACAGCACGCTTCCTGGACCCACCGTTGGACAACTTGGATRACAACTTATCTAATACTTACCATCAAACGGGGTTTATGTACGTGTTACAACAAYAACAAAAACAAAAAATGTATGCTTAATGATTAACAATATAGTGAAATAAAAATATAAAAAGAATTTTCCATCATGGGTCCATGTCTTATAATGTGATTGCAGYACTTACAAAATTTTTGCATTTCTACATAAAAACTCGTTATAATAAAATTGCTTCTTGCATGATAATTCGAAGTACAGCGACATCTATTAAAGAAGTCTTTCAGTGAAACTACTATAATTCTTTATACACATCCGGCAACACTAYTCCATACATTTTGACATTCGACATCTGACATTCACTGTTTTTTTTTGCTGGTTTACTGCAAAAATTTTAAGCAGTTTATCGACGATTTTGTGATTTTCCTATTATTAAAGAAAACATTACCAACATTACAAAAAATGACTACCTATCTAACCGATAGTGATGGAAAATTTATCCCAGCGACTCAACGACCGGATGGAACATGGCGCAAAGCTCGCCGCGTTAAAGACGGCTATGTACCACAAGAAGAGGTGCCCTTGTACGAAAGCAAAGGTAAGCAATTTGCGCAACGTAAGAGCACGCTTCCGCCTGGTATGTGTCCACTTGTGGCCGAGCAGACAAAAAAAGAACGAGAAAAGCAAGAGCGTGCCAAAGCAAAGAAGGTCGCAAAGCAACAGGAAAATTCCGTCGGGCCTAAATCAATTAATAGTGGAACGAGTAACAATAAAAAAGTTAAGCAACCTCAATCACAAACACAACAAATACCTGGATTGCTCGTTCTGGCTAACAACGGAACGTCTAAGGCAACGTCCTCCAAAGTTAATACCAACGTTAATAAGACAAGTACAAATAATAACGATGCTGTTGTTAAACTAGCCAGTGAATTGCAGGCATCGCTGCAAATCCAGTCAGATGAAGGACTTGATACATCGAAAAAATTGAAAAAGCTTCGAAAAAAGTTACGTGAAATAGAGACAATCGAGCAAAGAATCAAAAGTGGTGAACTGAAGAAACCCGAAAAAGATCAACTAGATAAAGTGAAGCGGAAAAAGGATGTTATTAAAGAAATTAAGCAGCTTGAAGAGGAAGAAGAATCCCTAGGTAAAGTCAAAGGAACCGACTAAAATTGGCATGCCAAGATCTTATGCGCACACTGTAAAACTCCAAAGTGCCATGGAACAACTAAGCGAAACACTAAATTTGCTGTACGTCATCACCCACTGATTATCTGTCTATCGGAACGGATACCAGCTAATGTTATGCATACACACACATAAATAACCGTTCTAGTGTTAATATTGTAAAAGTTTATTATTTTACTTTACATTTACATACAATTTTGGGCTTATTATTTCTTGCTTTAAGTGAGTCAACTTGTAGAAATATTAAAAGATTTAATTTGTCTGCCAACATAATTGTGCATGCGAAATTATTTTGTTAACTATTGTATATTAAAATCTCATCAAAATTTCGGTCTTTATTTGCACAGATTTCAATTAAGTGTTAAATTATGTATGTACAGTGTTCTGCAAGTGTCAGAATTTTGCATGATATTTTAGTTTAATTGAATTATTTGATATTATGCTTTCGTTTTATCTAAAAAAAACGTTAAATATGTATTTATAGCAAATTGCATAATTTAATCATGTTCATACGTTTATTTGTGCATTATATACTAAGCTTATCAAAAACAAAGGAGTGAAGCAATCTTTATTTTCTAAAACGCAAAATTTAAAATCTTTGTGATGCTCTTTTAAATTTAATTATCATATACATAGTTAAGTCTTCAATTATTTATACTGATAATAATACAAGTATACAACTGCCTAAAACTTGCGCATTCAATTTCCATACAAAGACAAATTAATAGAGTAATAAACGAAATTATCATGGTTTTAGAATAAGAATAAAAATAGATCGGGTGTTTTAGCTTGTGTAAAAATTTCAATAAGCATTTAAAAAATGTCCGTACCAATATAGAGATTGGCAAAAAAAAAACATATTAATTAAGTAAACAAAATAAGTAAATATTAATCCAAAGAAGACGAAAAATCAAACTAACTGTATACAGCAGCCATGTTACTTTTATAAACTATAGTATGTATTTGTAAAATAGAGTTTAAATGTGTACGAAGATGCTTCAAATAAGAGTAAGTAAAAACGAATTATAAATATGTACTTTTACTTTTTAAAATTAGTTTTACAATATTATGTGAGGTCTATTGTAGTTTTTACTGCAAATATTAAAAAAATAACAAGTATATATATATATATATATATATATAGTATTTATGTATAGTTTGTAGCGGTGAAATCAATATTGAAAGATATTGAAACAAACAAAGTTGTGAATCATATAAGCTCCAACGACATTTAGAATTCAACAAATGTTTAACAAAAAATAAAAAAGTTTTTGTAAAACTAAGTAAGAAAATACATATTATGTACAATGAAATATCAATAAAATGCTTAAATTATGATGACTATTTATAGCTTCAGTGATATCTCATATCTAATGGCAATTAAATTTTGAACATGTTCGTTTAATATCTTAAAGATATTCTCTGAAAATTTGCAGCAAATACGACAAATACTTTTCGAATTATTTGTTAATTAGTAAAGTTTTCACGGGTATCACCAAAAGAGAGACCCCACAATCTGTTCCAACTACCGTAGGATAATTCTCCTAAACATCGAGCGTATTGTTTGAAAGGATAAAGCCCACCGTCAACAAACGGATTGCACCTCATCAATGTGGCTGCAGGGCTGGAAAATTAACAACTGACGAGATTTTCACCATGTGTCAAATCTTGGAAAAGACCCGTGAAAAGACGATCGACACACACCACCAACTCGTTGATTTCAAAGCTTCTTTTGAGAGCACGACATTTTGAAAAAAAAATTTTTTTTAATATCGATTTTTTAAACAAAACCTTCTTAAGCCTTCCACCAACATCAGAACCTTCAACAATATACAAATAAACATGATTGTTGATTCTCTGTCACATGGCGGCATAAAGGGCTTGGTTTGCAGATCGAGTCTACTTAACCAGAACAGATAACGGATTTTTATCTGGCCAAGAACTGTCAACTAAGCAGAATTTTACCACCATAACAAAAGCAGCAGCAGAATGATTATTCGATCCAGCGACAGTCGGAGCCCAGATTTTTATACGGTCAAGAACTGTATACTTGGCACCATCCCTCGAAATTACTTCTAGAATGTTTTCTGTCACTACAACAACAACAACATAATGATTATCTGCACACGCAACCTCCGGATCCAAGTAAACGGAACGAGCTCGGCTTTTTATCCGCCCAAGAACTGTGAACTTAGCACCATTCCTCCAAATTTTTTCCGTAATATTTTTGGCACTACAACAACAATAGAATGTTCGTAGAATCAAATGGCGCACCGACACTAACACTCTGCTCAAGCATAGGCACTAAAGGAGGTGTCCTTTCCCAGCTTTTATCGGTAGGAAGGACTACTACTTCAATGGAGAAGAGGTGAAAGCAATTGCAAAAGCAAACGACATTGTATTGTTTCTCAGGGATGTTTTCATGCACAATCAGTGAGATTGTGGAAAGAGCCCTGCGAAGGTTTCAACCAAGGGGTGCAAACAACGAACTAGGTGTTAACCCTAATAAAACGAAAGTTATGCTTTTAACGAATAAAGCAAAAATATCTCGAACTGATCTTCACTGACTCAACGAAACAAATCGATGCCAAACTGAGTATGAAAATTAACATTCAAAAGCAAATTCTAAAAAATAAACCAAATTTTTTTATCGGATTGATGAAGCTTCTAAGATTGGATATGTCCTTCAGATCATTCTAAACAACTTTGTCTAAAAGCGGATCGGAAACCGGTTTCGAGCTAACGATTTAGAGATCAGAAAATTTTGTTAGTCAGAATTTGAAATTTTCGAATGAAAAATAATACGTATAGTGTGTATATTTTGATATTAATCTTTTGCCGGAATCGGTCAGATCGAGCAAATCTAAATATCCAAATATAAGTACTTTTTTCAGTTGCCTTTTTTTGACTGATCAAACATTAGTCGTGTAAAGCTATCATGTCTTGAGACCCAGTATTCACTACTGGAATATATTAGACCGAATAGACCACATACAGCACGCCGTAGCTAAGAGTGTACACGTTGACCGTTTGGGTCGATTCAGCGGGGTTCGCAGCAACTCGGACTAATGTATGGAACGACTTGGCGCATTTTACGACGAGACGTTACAGCTTGTGCAAGAACTGAAGCCGCTCAACCTACCAAAGCGACATCGCTTCTCTCTATGGGCTATGAAAAGTTCCAAGAAGATCCGATGTTTTCGAGCCAAATTTTGATCGGCGATGAAGCCTATTTCTGACTCAATGGGATTGTAAATAAGTGAAATTGCCATTTGAGAGGACGGGACTCAAAAGCTGCCATTTCAATTCAAACAACGACTTGGTGTGGTTTGTGGGCCGTGGAATCATCGGTACATATTTCGTTAAAAATGATTCCGGTGAACGTAACCGTCAATGGCGACCGTTATCGCGCCATGATAACCGACTATTTGATACCTGAAATAGAAGCTCGTGAACTCTATGATATTTGATTTCAACCTGACGGCGCCACTTTCCACTCATCGCATCAATCAATGGATTTATTAGAGAACAATTTCACGTTTTGTGCCGGTCGATTGACCACCAATATCGTGTGATGTTTTCCTGTGGTGGATATGTAAAGTCTAAAGTCTATGCGGACAATCCCGTTTTAATTCAGGCCTTGGAACAAAACATCACTTGTGTCATTCGCCAGTTACCAGCTGAAATGCTCGAACGAATCATCAAAAATTAGACTCAACGAATGTATCATCTATGTAAGACGCAGCCGCGAACAAATTTCTTCTTAATCAATCTTCAAAAAATATATGCCAAAGAATGTTCTTTCGAATGATAATAAACGAAATGGATCACCCTTTATAGCACATATCTCTTACAACCGATCATTCAGATTTATTCAACGTTGTCTGAAAAAACTCTGCCTCGAAACCAAATTTGTTCAGAATGATCCGTAGAACATTCCCCAAATACGCGATTATATTGCTTCCTTAACAACATTAAAACAAGAAATTTACCAATTTGAGGTTTTCATATAATTTTCGAACAAAAATCAAATGCATCTTTAACATATGCGTATGTATGTAAGTATGAATGCATTGCGGTATTCAACAAATCTTAATATATGTATATGTTTCTTAAGTTTTTGGTACATTTCTCGCCAATTTGGTATGTATTTTGTATTTATGTTCAATAAATATGTATGTGTGAGTGTGTTCACATCGTGTATAATTTGTTTAAATATTAAGTAAAACTAACGCTACGTACATGTGTGCATGTGAATACATTCAAAGACAATAAATACTTTCTAGTTTTTGTTGTTGTTTCTTCTTCTTAATTTTTAGAACGGTATATATGTAAATGTGAATGAATTTGTTTAAATTACAACTAAATACTTTTCGTACGTCTCCCCCCACACAGCATTATGGGTTACCTACAAATTTACAACAACTCCGTTAAATTCTCTATACTATAAGTTAGTGCATGTTTGTATGTATGTACGTATGTAGTTGAACTATTAAGTAGCTTTGGCCGATCAGAATTTCATTTTTTATTAGACAAATGTGACATTAGCGACATCATGTAACTAACTGTACTTAGTCCTCGAAGTAGCGGGCATTCCGTTTGCGTCCCATGTTGCAGATTTTGAAGTGGCAAGGCGACATATCTGCTAAGAAAGAGCACAGTGTTAATATTGTGGTTACATTCAGTGTGTAAATAACGGTAAATAAATGCTTATGTGGTGCTTACATTGTTTGTGTACTGTAAGTAAATAATACATGGGCGTATGTAGGCATGCAAAAATAAGTGTGATTAGTAACAGAGATTCGTTTTGTTGCCGCAGCGTCATGTGAATGCAATAATGAGATAAGATTATTATTTAGTCAGCAACGAAATTGTTTTTAGATCATTTATGATGACTACACTCGACTTACATTGTAAATTCTTCTTAACACCTTGATTCTTGAATGCAATATTGTCTTTCCGGCCTGCTGAAGAATCATGTGCAACCTCAGTGCCATCTAGCGCATTTGTTGAAATCTGCTTTAGATGCTCTTCGAAACTTGGCAACTCGTAGTTGTCGTCCGCATCATCGGTATTGAGAACGATGTCCGCGTAGTCAGACATTAGCACGAGATCGCGTAAACCGGGCCACTTACTCAGATAATTGGGCTGCTCCCGACGATATTTTTTCTGGAAAAAAAAATTCTTAAAATAACGAATTAAAAGCTCAGACTAAATGTTCATAAACAAATTAAAAAAAAAAATCGTAAAACATTAGATACCCTACAAAAAGAAATACTTTAGCATACAAGACTCTAATTAAATCTTGCTTTTGATCGTAATCATCGTCCCCGAAAACCCCCGAGTAACATGTTTCAAGCAAATCCGATTAATTTTTTGTCTGCTTATTCATTCTGCAATTAAGAATTTCCAAAATCTAAGCTCCTCCCCAATCGATGACGATGAGTGGACATTCCATTGAAGAAGTTCGAATATCCGATTACCCGTCTGAAGAATTACAAAGCCGCGGTTGTCGATGTATTGCTGGCCAAAATTTTCAAATCCGGCGGCGATAACTGTAAAATATGGTCGGACGAAAGGTTGCCCGACGATTGGAATTCAAGAGTGTTCTGCCCAATCCACAAAAAAGGATACCCCACAATCGACGCCAACTACCGTGGAAAAAGCGAGCGTACTGTGAGAAAGATTAAAGTCTTCCATCTTAAAACAGATTAGATCATATAAGTGTGGCATCAGGGCTGGAACATCAGCAATCCGTGAAAAGAAGACACACTTCGAGGATGACATCGTCCTCTCGCCGTTCGATACCAAACGAGGTTTCAGCCAAAGCGAGTCTCTTTCGCGCCATTTCTTCAATCCACTCTTGGAGAAAATAATTCGAGCTGCTTCAACATCTGATGAGTCGGCGATAGGAGTTTTCGAGAGAAAGGCAGATTTCGGCAGATTTATGGTCCTTTGCGCTTTGACAACCGCGAATACCGCAGTCGCTGGAACGATGAGCCGTTCGAGAAATATGACGGAAGAATGAAAACACTCTGACTCTAAGCGTGTGCGATGCAGTAACTGCCGGTGGAAGCAGAAGAAAAGGAAGACGTTCACTCCGTTAGCAAGACCGGGGGCGATGGACCTTACTTGGCTTTGAATTTCCAACTTGTCGTTGTAAACTCGCCTATAACTGAGACCTTGACGTCCTATTTCAACCCAAACCAGCTGTTTGTTCGACTTACCTTTCTTTGCAGCGAATTTTTAATTGCAGACTGTCAGCCTTATATTGTAAAACTGTGTGTATTTCTCCCATTACATTTAATCTGAAGCAATCACGACTTCATTATAAAGTCCCCCCTATGTTATGCTCATATACTCACCAATTCAGTGAGGAGTGCTTCATCATTAACGTTGTTAAACAATTCGTTCAACAATGTCAGTTGTTTATCGGCCTGTTGACGCGTGCCGTACTGCGGTATGCCCGCCAACGCATTCACCATCGGCGCTGCGCAAGCGTCACTCACCAACCACACAATTGACAGCACCAAAGTGAGATATATCCGCTGATAGTTGACGGCTGTCAGTGTAGTAGGTCTATGTTGCTGTGCCATTTTAATATGGTGATATAATGGTTGCTTTCCGTGGTCAAGGGCACTCGCTGCAAAAAAACACAAAATATAAAATGATATAAATGGAATAAATAAGAATAAAAGCAAACAAAATGTACACGTCAGAGCAAGCGAAGGCGCTGTAAAGTATGCTACAACTTTGAAGTATTTTCTAAAAAAATTTTTTTTTTTTTTTGGTAAAAATAAAAAATTCATTTACAAGTGAGCATTTCAAAGGTTTAGCGGAATTCAGGTGCGTCTACGCTTTATGAGCAGTTGGGGGGCGTTAAGGGGTTTCGATTACAACAAGCGTCAAAGTTGTAAGTTGAAACCAAAAGTTCAACAAGTGTAGAAATTTCAACACTTGACGGCTCTCACGTTGCATGAAGTTATTTAAAATGTATGTGCAATCGCTTTGTACCACGCACATTTGCACGTGACAGCTGAAACATCATTTAGCGGCAGCGAAAAGTTATTGAAACTTTGCGGCGCACGTAAGTACCGTAACTGTAAATGCACAAGAAGAMATTTTCCTCAGCTCAGTTTCAATAATTTTGCAAGAAAAAGTTATGCCATTTGTATATAACAAATAATATTTTCAAAATAATTAATCACAAAATGTACTCATTATCCCACCCTAATCATCGTGTCCTCTCTAAAAAAAAATACATTTTTAATTTATTTTAATTTTTTGTTTTCAGTTATCATATCACCTCGTAGGTCATAAAATATTATGTTTATAAATTTGTTGAATTTTGCTTTTTCTCGCACGCCCATTATTAATCGCATCTGATGGCCTAATTGACGCCTAAGCCATATTCCACCATGATAAGTTTTTAAGCAACGCGTCAGTAATTGCTATAATAGCTATAATTATGATTAAAATACGTAAAATTCATTGGGGGTCTCATTTGCGGATCTCAAGGTTATGTAACTTATTAACACAATGAACTGCTGATAGGTAAAGTAACACAACTACATAATTCGTTGATAATACTGATGCCATTCTGATAGCAGAGCCATTAGTGGTAGCTTATAAAAATTGTTTACAAAGCAATATTTCATCTGGAATTTATGCTTATTTACAAACCAAAATAATTGAATCTATCAAAATTGATAATATGAGTTTTGAAAAAGAAGAGCTTTCGTTTTGCATTAAAGATTATCTTTAAGAATTCATATAACGTCACCTAAAATGCAAAATAACGTAACATCACTTTTCATAAGCTTACCGGGGAAAGAAAAACGATATTATAGCATTTACTTATTTTGAAACAATTTTGGAGTTTTGGTTATAAATAAAAACCTCAATTTCGATTTTTTTTTATTGTTTTTTTTTTTTTTTTTNTTTTTTTTTTTTTTTTGATGCTAAGCAGCGAGGTCTTTACAAAATCATCGGCATTACTAACGTACAAACTCTACCTGAAGTATTTTTTAGTAGTAGAAAAAACAATCGAAACCCGGAGCTCGGTTCTTTAATTGACTAATCCTTACTAACACATATCTCTCCAACGAAACCATCGGATTACATATAACTTACTCTATGGTACGGATGGACGGACACCTAATCTGTTGAAAAATTCTCAATTTTTTCAAGATTAGCTGACGCTTCGCTGACAGCATTCCATTGGCCATAAAACTACCACTGAGCGTAGTTATGTTAGTTATAACTATGCGAAAATCACTCTCAGACTCTTTCTAGTAATTCAACATTCAAGTCTTTTTGTGTAAAATTGCACTCTTCAGACCACAGTCAGTGCAAAGCTAAGCAATGAGATCTTTACAAAGACTTAGGCATTGCTAAACGTACCATTACAAACCCTACTACTCTTTTCATAGCAGCGGGAAGCATCGAAAGTCAGAGCGCGGAACTTAAATCCGCTCAACTTAACCTACTCCCATCACATGTCTCACTCATGGAACCATCAGATTAAGTATTACATCGTGGGAGTGATAAAACATTTTTAGTCTCCTCTATAATACGGACTGACGGACGCCAATCAGATGTATACTTATGTCGCAGTTTTGTCATGATTGAGGCTGCCGCTTCGCTGACAGCTTTCCATTTTGCAGTGGACTGACATGTGTGAAGGTAGCCAAGTTTTCCACCGTTAAACTACCACTGAGTGTAGTTATTTTCTTGTACTTAAAAAGTGAGTGCAAAAAAAGAGTACATATTCACAGTCTAATATGTACTCTGTACAAGTCGAATATTAACACTAATGTCATGATGGAATCTGTACAGATAGCTTCTAATACTCTCAAGTCCACTTAGAAATTTCAACTGGTTCAGGTGGAATTCCAAGTCCCCTTGGCGTCTGTCTATCCAAGAATGGATGTCCAGTCTATAGGTCCAACATCCTTTGCCACCGTTGCTGCTAGATTATCATGCTTTTGGTTGTATTTGGTATTTTGACTGCTATAGACGGTTCTGATACTGATACTTGTATACTCGCGCGAATTCGTCAGGGTGGAGTCTCTAGTACCAGTGCTATTGCATAGGCTCAAAGTCGAGAAAAAAGAAACAAGTCTTCTGTATTGATTCACTACTGTTACAACTACTGTCTGACTGGGCTGTGGTATTCACACAAAATTCGATTTTTTTTATTAAAAATATATTTTTTCACTCGAAGCTTCGCCGCTGTTGTCTTTGCTTAAGAAAAACTCCACCAAACCGTAAACTAAGTATACTCCATTGCACTTACATTTCGTAGAATCGCAAGAAAAAATTTTTAGTCCTTAAACTGCACCGAAACAATTGTATTATTTCACTGTTAAGCTGCTGCCGTTTGCTGTTTGCACCAGCAGTTGTCAATGCTAAATAAAGCTCCAGTTTGTCTGGTCAAACGCTTTATAGTGTGACTGTAATGATGGCATCTCAACAACACATACGCAACACAATCATCAATAATGACAACAACAACAACAACAATTCAAATGGCAGTAACACCTACAGTATACTAATTGACAGGTACTATCACAAATGATTTGAAATCAAACCGAAACTGTAATCACAATCTAAACCACTCCTACAAGCACATTTAAATGTGCACAATAAGCTAGTATATACAAACATACATACGTATAAAACTAATTTCGAATTGTACAAAATACATGCAACAGGTCAATCGGTTTTACATTTAAGTGTACCATTGTACACACGGAACTGAGAAAGCCAACCAAAAGCATACACAACGCGCCTATAGTGGTAGCCGCCCTGCCAACGCACATAACACACACACACACATACAAATGTACGCATTGATAACTAATTTTGGCAATTTTGAGTATGCACTCCCGTGTATACCCGATTATGCAAGTACTATATCCGTTCGTTGTATTGTCTATTGTCACCTGTCACCTGTCACCTGGTATTTGTACATTCGTCCATGTCAATCAGCATAATCAGAGCAAAATTTAATTCCAGTGATAAGATGTGCTTAGCCAACATAATGCCCAATTCCTTTTGGCGCGCCGATAGTGCCTACGCGACTAGTCAACCGCTAGTCAGCGCCAGTTCAAACAGCAGCGGGAGCTACATTGAGTTCTTAGCACGATAACTGGATAGCCCTTTGGTAAATTTGGCTTAGCAGAGGGTTCTAATTTTCAGCACCCAAACATATATGACATTTTGCTTTAGTTTTCATGTCATTATGCAGCATTTTATCACAGCTGTCAAATTGGCATATAATTAGTGACACGACGATACGATTGCTGGCACTCGAGTGCGGAAGTATTTTGATTGCCGAATATTCACTGACTTTCTTACGCAATTTTGTCCCATCTTGCTCTTTGACTGTGGCCTTTATCTACTGCTCCATATGTAGTTATGTGTTAGAGCGTTGATGTAATCTTATTTGCATTTATCACACGCTCTGTGCAATTAATATTCCCCACCAAATAGGCTGTAGCACTCGGCATTATAAAACAAGAGCATTAATTTAATTCGCTGTAGTTTATACTAGAAATGCATGCGCTCATTTAAATATTATATACATATCTATATATTAAATATATATATCAAGATGTGGCTAGTATATAAGAATTAGCTAAGCCGATCAAACCGGAAGAAACCGCTAAATGCCGCTTAGGGCCGCGTAGATCAACTAGCAAGTGGTTTCACGTGGTTCACGTCGCACCATATTATTCCTTATAAACTTACATACATATGCACAGATTTTATTTAACGCAAATTTACATCCGTGATACAATTAAAATTACACAAATCACATGTGCGGCACTTTATTTGAGCGCAGTGGCGCATTAAGTAAGTAACAAACTAATGCAAACGGCTCTAGAGGATCGATAAAGATGTGGAAGGTATGACACTGAAGTTTTCGGAAAATATATTGCATACCCAGTTTTCATGGATCCATAAATGTCGGATATGTATGACAACAAAGGAATGCAAAATGCATAGGATTTAGATTTTCTCACTAAAAATATTGATTTTGATATTTCAGTTGGTAATTTCGGAGATTCTGTTCTCGGGTTAATACAACTTTAATGGTTTGTTTTGTGCTTTCAGAGTTCGCTCAGAAGACGCAAGAGCATACCAGCCAAAAGTTACTCTATTTGCTGGATGCCGCCCCGATTCTAGGTTTGCTGCTGTTTAAGTAATCACGCAACAAGTGCCCCGCTTAGACCAGTTTGGTCCTTTGCGATACCAGATGGGGTTCAGTTTCTAAATCCAAGAAGAGTAGTCATCGTTTAAGATGCCTTGACTCGAGTTTTAACAGATTCTGCAGCTTCACTTGCGAGACCTCCAACAGTGTAACATACCGTGGGTACCTTAGATGATTACAGCGTAGTCCTGCCAATGCGGGAGAAGTGCACTAAAGATGCTTAATTCTTTCCTAGGCGCCTTGCTCTAGACATTTCCGGCAGTCTTCTCAATCGGTCAGCTCCATTCTGCGAACGTGTGTCGCCACCAGGCAGTGACCAGTTAGAACTTTGTGTACAAAAACGGTTGATGGCTAATGGCATATTGGCAACACTGTGAACAAATCAACACCAAGTAAATCCCAAGAGGTATCCGAATAGAGAAAAAGATACAATAACCACGCTGCAATGTAATATTTTTGCTGAGTTCCTCTTAAATTTATGCTTACTGTTCTTTTATGGCAGTATTTTGGCGGACTCTGAACAAAATTCGAACATCATACGCAAAGCGCCGAAGTGGAATCCAGATGCCTGATTTTGTTTTAAATAATCCATGAGATTAGGTTAGGTTTGGTTAAATCCTAAAACGAATATCACACTTAGACAATTAACAACTTATCACGCCAGACCGTTGTGGTGTCAAGAAGTTGTGTAAAAATATGTCATAAAGACGCTCTTAGATCAACAAAACGCTTTGAACTAATAAAAAATTTGTTGGGGCGGCCAATGACTACAGTTTCGACTACGTCTGCTGTTCCGCCGAAGGTATGGCTGTCGAGATATTTCAGCAATAATTTTGCAAAGGATGGACAATGGAAGAGAAAATACCTGGATGTTTACACCTGACCTTCTTCAATATGACATTGACGCAGATTTTGCGTCCTACTGGATTTCTAGCCTACTGCTTGAATGCCTATTGTACAATATTCAATAAGAATTCCAACGATTGTTGCAAGAGATACCCTGAGGTCAATAAATAAAATGTGTGTGCCAAGTTACTAACCAATTATTGAAAATATTTATACAATGAACAGGTTTGCCACGAAGTTTGGTCCAATAAAATATGTTACTTACCGATTCAAACAGGGTTAGATCGTCGAAATGGCAGCCCTTGGTCGAATAAAGTTCTGGTCAATTCCGGGATCGTAGAACAGGTAATGTTGGGAATTAAGTAAAACAAGAGTGACCCTAGCGCAGCTTCGTCCTAGGTTCTGTAACAGGTTAAACTCCTACCTATCCAGAACAGATGACGGCATACTCAAATTACGTCCTGCATGCATCGAATGTGTGCACGATTCCACATAAATCAAACTCACTTAACCCATTTCTCCCAATGGTCCCACACCGCGAGACTGCTTAACCTCTCGTTAAGTGACCTTAGTGGCAGCTAACTCGTTACTTTGCCCCAAAGAGAGTGTAGGGAATCGCTACAACAACAACAAGCATATAATATGTATACATTTAAAAACGATCATCGTGACACGTTGAGTCGATTTAGCTATATCCGTCTGTCTCACCAGTTCAGAACAGTATGGAACCTAAACTGGAAGTAGTTTCGGCGACTTGATTTAGCAGGAGTCTTAATTCTAGTAGTTCGGAGAGCAGGAGCCCTTGGTGTTCGCTCCAACATGCTGATGCGGACTGGTCCCTCATACAGTATCGTGGTGATTGTGGTTTAAGCCCGAATGCGGGAAGATCTCAAACTTGGTCAGTTGAATGTGGAGAGGTTTTAGGTGGGCCTCGAGCCTCGAATAGTGTGTCCATTCTACACTGACATTTGGATTTCTCTCCAAAAATCTGCTTATTTGCGAAACCGCCAATATCGGAATACTATATCATATAGCAGCCACACAAACTGATCAATCATAACTCCACCAAATTGAGCGTAGAATATTCCCGAAAGCAGTGCTATAATATCTGAAGAAATTTTTCAGATCAGACTACTACGGCCCACAGCCACCATCAAATTACGAATGCGGGAATTGAGCGTTTAACTGTATAAATCTGTACGAAAGATGCTTATGCACTTAAATATCTCTATATAAAATATACATACACTTAGGGTATATGTCTCACATTCAGCTAGACAAGTAATCCGGTGGCATTTTTTTTTTTTTTGTGGCTTAGGCGCCAGCGACATACCCACATTTATATATTTAAGTATAAAATAGGTGATTAAGCTTATCAAGGTGCTTCTTATTACAACAATAACAATAATCATTTTGTTCAGCAGACTTATTTAGCTAATTTTAATTTGCAGCGTATTGATATACTCACATATAATTTATTGGACATTAAAAATATATGGTACACCGATTGGTGCCTGAAAGTATATTGTGTTACGAAAAAAAGCAAATAGCCTTCGAGAGCACAGCTAATGGTTTAGTATTTTTCTCCCTACCGAAAACTCTTCGCCGATCTATAAAATGATTTTAACTAGCATTTGTACCAGCTAAGTGATTTCTTGTAACGGAAAAGTGATTTCTTGTAACGAAAAGCGGCCACGCCGGATCAGTGCTAACCATAAACTCAATTGTATATAGGTAAATCCCGAAACTTTACAGCCCAACTACTTTATCTCTAATGCTTTTTGCGCCACGACGAATTTATAGTGTATTGAATAAACCGATTAGCTTCGTGTCATCTCTGTTATAGTAGAATATATAGATCACTATATTAATCACGTATTTTGTAGCTTTTAGTGCTTGAAAGACACCAGTAATGAAATGCTTGAATTTATGGGAGAACGCCCCAAAACATCAAGTCTTCCATAAGTTTCTCAGCATAATTTCATACGTCAATTGGATTATTAATTATAAAAATCATATTAACTGTAAACAAATTCCATTCAATTTTCTTTTTCAAATTAATTGAGTTTAGTTTAAAAAATTTAATTTACAAATGTAATTAATTATTATAATGGAAATTTTTTTTTATTAGTATTATTATTATTATTGTTAATTAATTTTTTTAAATTTGAATTTTTTTTAATATTCAGGAATAAGGAGAATTTTCAATTTAGCCTTTTGAAAACTTGTTGTTAAAGTTATAAATTCCAAATCGAAAATTTGGTTTGCGAATTTATACTATCAGGATTTGAGTTTGAAAATTTGTTCATTCAAAAATTTTGGATTAAAAATTAGATTTTAAATTCTATTTAAAGTAAAATAAATAAATGGATATTACTCACTCCAAATTTATTTTTTTGTTCAAAAATTCAAACATACATACATATTTAACTAAAAAGTTTTGGACAATTCTTTTTATATTATTTTATCTTATTCACTCAAAATTTATTTTTTCTTCTTTTCTTTCTTCTTTTTGTCATGTTTACAAAGCTTTTATTTACTCTAAAACCTTTTTTCAAATAAAATGTTTCCCAACATCATGTTTCGAAAATTTTTATACTCTAATTATTTACAAATTATTTTTTTTTTATTTTGCAAAAAAATCTACTTTTTCAAAATCATATTTTCTCAAAATCATGTTTGGAAAATTTTTTTATATGTTTTTATCTTATTCACTCAAAATTTATTTTTTTATCATGTTTGCAAAACTTTTATTTACTCTAAAATTTTTTTTTTTTCAAATAAAATGTTTTGCAACATCATGTTTGCAAATTTTTATACTCTAAAAACTTTATTTCAAATCTTAATTATACATATGCTTGTGATAAATTTTTTTTATTTATTTTAGTCGCAAATACAGGATAAAAAAAATTAATTCAACTGTTAATGCATTATTTGCAAGCCTCTCAGGATTTAAGCTTCATACCGCAATAAAAAAATAATTGTTCATAATATTATATATGATTTAATCTTTCGAAGGTATAGTACCCCGACAATCTTTACGCAAATTGAAGCTAAACTAATCCGTCTACAGTTTATTCACTAAAAAAAACTAAATTACTTATAAAATTTTTAACAATTTTTATTGTTTTGCTATTTTTTCTTTACTTACCAAATTTTCGCGCTTTCCAACGATTTTCTTTTACAAACTGTGCTCAAAACACTTGTTAAATTCACAACTGTGAATACTCTGTCGTTCAAACACTTCCGGTTCCGCCAAGTATCAAACCGCGTACTATTAAGTGCGCAACGGTCAGCACTAAAATGTTTCAGGTTTTCGGTTCAGGCTCGGTTTATATGCAAATGGCGACACAACTGTAATTGTTGTTGCCTTCATATTTCAGAAAAAAAAGAACAAAACTGAGCAACAAGTGCTTCAATGTTCGCTTTTGTTGACCACTTGACTTATCCTCGCGCCTGCCACTTCTAAAATTCCTAAAGCAGTTAGATTACACAACAAAAATACGGTGCTATAACATGGACACACCTACGCACATATATGTATGTGTAAATAAATGAAAGTTAGCCTTTTCCAGTGTTGTCGTATTCAACCCCTTCGAATGTCGTCAAATGACCCGAACTGCACTCGTTGATTTACAGTTATCCTTCGCAACAGTCACTTCGAGCAAAAGTTGAGTTACAGCTAATGCTCACTTTTGAGCTTTCACTTAGTTATTAGTTTGAAAATATGTATGTATACGCCAATTGACGTCTTTTTGGCGTTGCTTGCTTTTTTTTTTTACTCGCTTGTGCGATTATACGTTTGTAGGATATAATGATGAATATCCTTTTTATCTGCATATTCCATTAATCACTCATCTTTGATTTCATTTTTTTCACCTTCTCACAAATTGACCGCGAATATTTAATGGCGCACGCAATCACGTTGTCTTGTGAAACTTTTTGCAATTGAAACTTTTAAAATTAGCATTTTGCGATTCCATCACTCTTTCATCGTTAATTTATTGCGTTTTTGCGACGCGTTTGTCGATTTCCCCAATAATAATAGCAGTGCGTGCTCATTCAAAACATAAATTAAACTGTAGCCAAACCCGGCACACGCCAATAATTTATATGAAGCTTCTAATTTCAAACGTCCGAGGATCGTTTGGTATCTTTCTAACGATCAGTAAGCGTTGGTACGAGCTGCGTCTCGTCGCTTTGAACGCAAGTCGAAATGCATGAATATATGTAAATGTAGAAGTCAGCAAACACATAAGCTGTTTTCACTTTCATATCTACACGTCGTAGCTTCTTTGTAGTCAAAGTTTCGACTTCTAAGTCAACACGTCACTGTTGGCTGATTTGGGTTCTAAGTTGACTAATCACTGATAATGCATGTTTGTATATTTATTATTTCGTACATCTAAACGAAATATTTGATAATGTTCACCCACGGTGAATTTGGTTTTTTTTTATTTTTTTTTTTTATAACCGAAACACACCTAACGGTTGTTTATAAAAGTCGCAAGAGTCAGCCCTCTTGATATTTATTTACGTAGGCACTCAAAGTAAACTAATAATACTGCTTAAGAATACCCCAAGTGATGATGATTATTTTCAGAAAAAAATGATGTCAAAACAAAAAATTGTCTACAATCGAAGCGGTGTCTTCTTAAAAGTATATACCCTGAACAGGGTATATGAAGTAAGCAAAGCAAAGCCCAAAATTTGTAACACCCAAAAGGAAGCTCTGGAAACTATAGAAAAAAAATATATAAACGATCAGCATGACAAGCTCAGTCAATTTAGGCATATCATTATTCGCGAACTAGTCTTTTTGATATATCGATCTGAAGTTTTGTACACGACCTAATTTTTGGGAAGAATGATAATTTTTCGGAGCTCCCGGTATCAGACCGCTAAATATTTTTTCTCTGTTTTAGAGTCAGCAAATTAACACTTGTATTAGCAGATCAATCGATCAGCATTTTTTTGACTGATAACACGTGAGTGTGGGCGTGTGGATTTCATCTGTAAAAATGTGTTTCGCCCGCTTCGCTCAAATTATGGTCAACATAATTGGCATACCGAGCTTACCATTCGCAACACCATCAGCCATCTTGAGACTCAGCACTCGTTGTTGGATAAGATTCTACCGAATCAGCACGTAGTGAAGAAAATATAGCAGCCTAAGTTGAGTGTATTCACCAAGACCGTGAAAAGTTCCAAGAAGATCCGATGTTTTCGAACCAAATTGAGTTCAGCGATGAGGCTCATTTCTGGCTCAAGTGGTATGTAAACAAAGAAAATTATCGCACTTGCGACAAAAAGCAACCTGAAGAGATTCAAGAGCTGCCATTTCTATCAGAAAACACAACGGTTTGAGGTGGTTTGTGCACCGATAGAAACGTCGTCGAAAAACTATGCGGACAATCCAGCTTCGATTCACACCTT